TTATGGCTTTACTATGGCGGTCTCTAGATGGACCCCTTCTTTCTCCCTTGATTGTGATTCCCCATATGCTCCTGTTTGGGTCTCATTTGAAGGGCTTCCGATTCATCTCCATGATGTACGGGCTCTATACCCCATTGCTAGTCTACTGGGGAAGCCCTTTCAAATTGACACTCCCACTGCCAACTTCTCTAGACCTTCCATAGCGAGAGTCTGCATTGAAATTGACATCTCCAAAGACCCCCCCTCGGAAATCTGGATTGGAAATGGTAGTTCCGGTTTTTTTCAATCTGTACAATTTGAAAACTTACCCTTTTACTGTCTATGTTGTTGCCGTTTTGATCACCCTTCCAGCAAGTGCCCACGGGCTAACAAGAGTAATGACCCTTTGGTTGAGGTCCCTGCTGCCACAACTTCACCTGAAAATACCGAAGTTGCCTGTAATGCTCGTATTGTATGTGATGCTTCTGTTAAAAATCCTATTGTTATTGAGAACAATTCTGAAAAACAGGCACTCATTCTTGCTTGTGAAAGTGTCCCTGTTACTGATTGTGATATTTCCGCTCCTGTCATAGATTGTGAAAATGTTATCATCATGCACAACTCTGAAAATGCCACTGCTTCTTATTTTGATGCATCGCACTTAAAAATGATTGTAGTAAAGGGTTGAAGTATGAGTATCGTCTCCACAGGGAAGGACAAAAGGGAATTAAGAATTAACTAAATTCAGCGATAAAAATAAAATTAAATAAAAAGCAATTGTGCGAGATTTGAATGATTGAAAAATTAAAATGCAAGTAAACAAATAAAAGTAATTTGATTTCTTTTTAATTAATGACGAAGGGAACAAAGATTGATTCCGGGGTAACCAGATTTCTCCGGGGTAACCAGATTTCTGGAAGATCAGACTTAATTACATGAAATTAATTTAATTGAGCATAGCTAATCATTACTAAGTTCTTACCGCTCTCAAGGTGTAGAGTACAATAATTTAGGGGACCAGACTGATATCTCATGCGGCAGGTTCCTAAATTATTGCCAAGACGAGAGAGCTTACGGCCCCTTAATCGCTACTAATCTCTTAGCGAGTAATTAAGTGTGTATGAAGGTGTCCTAGAATAAACTAGATCTCTCTTAATTTATTCTACAAGCAATTGTAATTCTAGTCGCGATTCTAGGTTATAAGAGATATCAGTTAAATTATTCAATCACAAATTAAACGGCATTCATACAACTAATCCATCAAGAAACTAGCCATACATCATGATTAACCCTTCATCAATCCCAAATCCCTAATTAACCTACTCACTACTCATAATTGATAAATCAACAGAATTGGGATGAATAAAATAATTGTCATTAATTAAAAAGATGGAACTTACAAATAATCTCAGGGTCTTGAACAAAATAGCGGAAAACAACGAATAAACTTGTCCCTAGGCCTCTCTCTAAATTATGTAACCCCAAAATAGGGTTATGGAAGCCTTATTTTTAGGAAACAAGTAAAATTTGGGCTGAACTAGGAAAACTGGGGTCAGGCACGGCGCCAGGCACGATCGTGCCTGCGAAACAAAAATCGAACTCGCTTCCATGCACAACATGCTTCCCTGCCAGGCATGACCGTGCCTAGGTTCCAGCAGCCAAGGGTCTCGCGCTGTGTTTTATGGGCACGACGTGCCTGAAGCTAGGCACGACCGTGCCTACATTATTTTCATCACCGGCTCTCTTTCTAGGCACGCACGGCGTGGCTAATGCCGGGCACGACCGGGTGTGACCTTTCTTCATCATTTTTCTTCGTCTTCTTGCTCCGAATGCTCCCGGATGCTCCGATCGTGATCGATCCAAAGGTATTTTCTTCATCAAATCTTCATCGTGAACCTCCCGGAGACCTCCAAAACTCTCAAATCTTTCTCGAATGCTCTTCAACTCTTCTTGATTGCTTCTGAAGCGCCAAGTGCCAGACTCTAATTTCCTGATTTTGACTCCAAACAACACAAAACTCGAACCAACGCCTGATAAACATAACTTGAGCTAAAATTGAGACTTATAACACCTTAAAGCTAGAAAAATCATTAAAAGCCGATCCCAACACACATCAAATGTGTGTTGTAATACGAACTTATCACATCACTAACAAATATGTACTTAGGCTTTTACGGATCAAACAATCGGTCTGCACTAACACCTAATCTAAGGATTCATCCAAAGATTCTCCTAAAGGGTTGCCTTGTTCAGGGTTTGCTAAAGAGATTGGATCCCCTGACCGATTCAACAAGTGGGGTCTCAGCATACAGGTTGCACTCCTCAAACCCGACGGGCACCTTGGCCTCAGGAGTGGGGGACTACCCCTCGGCCTTAGATACAAGATAGCAAAAAATTGCAACAAAGACCCTGGGAAGCCACACTCACCACAGAGTAAATCACCTCAACCTATAAACACAAACAATGAAGAAAGGCAAAGAGCGGGATCAAAACCAGAAAAATCCACTCCCTTTCGTTTCAAAGACTCTCTTTTTAGAGAGTGGGGGACTCCTGATAGAATATACGGGCTCGGACCCACGACCCACATATTCTTGGACACCTAAAACGGCCCAAACCTATCACACTACATGGGAGCCCTTCCAAATCCAGTCCAGAATGAAGAAGTATATATTCTCACTGTCTGTACACCACCTTGGGTATCACCTCGGTGATGCCACCTCAGCCAAAGATCCCAGACAATCGCTCAGGAACAAAGACAAAGCCAAACCCGAGGTTCACATCTGCACCTCGCCCATCGTCACCTTGGCAAACAGAGAACAACTGGCTAGAAGTCAGTTAGAGAATGACACACGTCAAGTTCTGCTATGCCCCAGGGCTCTCGCCCATAGAATAGTCAAGATGTGTAATGCATTTAATGCACTGCCTCATTAATTACTAGTACCAGTATAAATACCTCCTTGGGGGGCAATTGTAAAGGGTTTGCATATCTTTTAACATCAATCCCTTTTTCTCTCTAACTCTTAGCCCTCCCTTCTCTCTATTATACCATTAACGGTTTTCCGAGAAGCTATCAGTATCAAATTGCTATTCTGGGGTAATAAAACAAAGACAGTAAACAAGAATCGTTCCTCATAAGGGCAACTTTAATAAAAATAAGATCATTGATTGCATGGGTAACTAAATAGCGATGTCATTGGTTTGGGTAGACTTCGGATTGTCTTAATGAAACAAGTGTAAAGTAGCAGACTCTGGTCCAACTTCCGCAACACTTCCCATAAAAGATGGCTACAATGTTAAAAGCCTAAAAGGTTGGTTTAAATATACCACTTCGATTTTGATCTATCATCTATCAAAATACTTTTGATTGTTTAGTAGATGAAAAATTAAAAAGTTGTTCAAATGAAAAGGTACTTGTAGTACCTTTTCATTTAGTCCACATGGGTTCATCTTTTTCAATTATCACTTCACATATGTCATCCTACCTTAATTGAATTCCAATTACATACTATGTATATCTTCATGATTTATATAATACTACCTCCACCCCATAATGTAAGATACTCTTGGGTTTGGCACATGTTTTAGGAAAGTAAAGGAGAAAAGTTGTCGATTTACCATTTTAACCTCAAAAAGTAAGAAAAGTATGATAGGTCCATGATGCGTACTATTTAGTAGTACATAAGCACCACATTTTAGAATGGTTTTACATTATGTTTACTCAGCTTTTGTACAATTACGGTGTAATCTTTATCTTCTAAAATTAAAGAAGAATTAGAAGATATTAAGATATTTTGACATGTAAGCAAAAACATGATGAAAAGAAGAGGAAGGAGCTTGGGAGCGTAAGGAAGGAGCATTGGAGAAAAGAGGAAGCTTCATGGAGGACAAAGATGTGTGAAAAATCGGATATGATTCGACCCGGAGATTATAAGAGATCAAATAAAGCAAGTGAACATGGGAAAATCAGATTATGTCTTAGACCCAACCACCTCACTTCTCCTATAAAAACACATCTTTCCTTCCTATTTTAGAGACCAATTTAATCCCCTCTTTCATATACACTTTATTCTTGTAATTTAGGTAGTCTTTCCATCTTGGTTTTGCTACTTTGAAGCTTAATGAATTGTAAGTTGTGAGTTATTTTCTTTAATCTTCTTCCTTGAATATTAATTTTTCCCTCAATACTATCTCTATGTTAATGTTGGGGAGTGTTACTAAGATGACAATTAGTTAACATCTCGACATTAGTTAGAGTAGTATTTATTTTCTTCCTCTATATTAATGTTGGAGAGTGTTACTAAAATGACAATTAGTTAACATCTTGACTGTCACGCCCCGGACCTGCCCGGACACGTCAACAACCCGCCGTACAATACGAATAGTCAACCACAGTCAAGCACATCCATATTATACAAGGCGTCTCGAATATCATTCACACGTAAGCCATCCATAAACAACATAATAAGCAATCGAATACGTAGCGGAAAACATAGTTTGAAAACAAATGCCACACGTGGCAAACATGAGCACGCAGGCTCTATAGTAAAATATTCATGAGCATGTTTATTAATGTTTAAAAACAGAATGGAGGAAGCACGAACCAAGTCTTCCCTCCTAGATGATCTCTCGAGCAACGAGCACAGGAAGACAGCTCTAGCCTCAACCTGAAAAATGGTAGTGGGACGCCCCCGAAGGGGTCAGCACTCTATAAGGCTATAAAGTGCTGGTGTGGATGACATCTAATAGATATATAACAAGTATTTCAAACACAAGACCCTCAAATAGGGTGATAATATAATCTAGGCCGTAACACCTAGTTACCCCTTTTCAAAATATACTTACTTATATATAAAGTCAAGTAGTCGGCCCGTAGGCCCAAAGTTTGTTACCAAACATAGCCCAAACCCCGTGACCCCTAGTCACAACAAAACATAGGGTTCAACCCTAACACATATGGTTGCATTTCTCGAGTCCAACTCGACTACATCACCATGCACCTTATTTAACACAAGTTAATTACTCCACCGTGCATTTCTTGAGTCCAACTCAACTACATCACCATGCACATCAATCACCACATCATGTCTACCCAATGCAATTCTATGAGCACGGGCTCAAGTACATCTCCTTACATTGGCATAGACCCCAATTCCTAAGCACTCGCTATGCCTAGAATTTGTAATATCAATACTCTAATTTGGGACATCCTTACGGACTGCCCAACCATGATCTTAGCATCACATTACATCAATTTAGTCACTTGCATCACAATCAAGTACATCAATTACAATCAAATCCTTAGATTCAATTCCTTAACAATTACAACAATCATTAACTAGTATTTTAATGCTATTAAGATTATCCTTATCCATCATATATCCCATTTGTAAAACCCTACATATTTAGAGATATGTAGCAGCAACTTAATCATCCAATGTAATACATAAATAATCATTTATGTATCTACACAAATCACACATGAGTAAAATGCCTATTTCACACAATAGTTCATTTAACTCCATTTTTATCAATACTTTACCAAATCATTTCCCATTTCATTCTTTGGAAAATAGATCAATATTCCATCGATAATTTATCATCATAATCCATGGAAAACATGATTTAGGCATTTAGGTAATCTCATGCTTAACCTACAAGTTGTAAGCAACTAGATGTCGATCCTCACCTCAAATGAGCTTTAAAACTTTCCTTCTCGATCCAATGACCAAAGCCTCGGCCAAGGAAGCTTGAGAACTGATTCCTTGCTTAGAAATGAGTGTTAAACACCCCCCTCAAAGTGCTAGTTCAACCCCTAATCGTTGATACGAAAACAGCCCCTAGAATGGGTGTTTTCCGGCTAACTCGTTTCCTAGTTTTCCAAGATTTGCTCTAGGTTAGTATCTAACCTTTACATCAATAAAATAACTTAATAGGGACATATTATACACTTGGAGTAGTGTATAATAGTTCCACCAATCGTTCATATCATTTGGAAAATGAAGGGAAACGTTTTGGGGTTAAAACTCACTTTAGAAGATTAAATTCGCTCCTACGAGGTTGTGTTTTGCTCGGACGATTTGGGAGCCTTACACTACTCCGATTGATGCAAACCAGACCTTCAAGGATTCCTCGTCTTGAGAGATTTCTTTTGGTATCTCGCATGCCTTATTTGGATTGGTATAACTCGAGATATCAACCAAACAGCCTCGGTACTCTCACTGCTCGAGTTTACAGACAACAGTTCACTCCAGCTCGATTTTTGTATGATAAACTCTCCCTTCTCGAACAGAGACCACTCAAATAAGAAACTAGACTTCAAAGGCTATCCAAGGACACCTCATTCACCTTATTTGGTCGAGTATAACATCACTCATGGAGGGAGACAACCAGCATCATCCTTTTGTGCGAAAATAGACTAGGTGGGGTTCCCTCTTGCTTCCTTTGTCAAGTCCAGCCCCCAAAGTCAGATATGGCAGCCTCCTAACATTATTTTTCTTGTCTTGCAGGTGGAAGGAAGAGATGGGGTGCAGCATGTTGTTCCCCAATTATTTTGGGAGCAAAATATTAACTAATACATCCAAAAATGGAAGAATGGGTCCTATTGTTTAATCTTTTGTCAAAAGATGTCTTTTTGTACTCATCCTAATTTATTTAGAACAAGTTAACTCCCTACATCATATCATTGATTCCCAATATGTGTAGGATCATCCCAATAATTCATGTGATGAATATTATAGGAGAAAAACCCTACTCCCATTATTTAGCTCAATAATGTCAAAGATGGGACCATAGACATTTGTATTCTTCTCTAATCATTCTATCACTTATTTTGACATTTGTCATTCATATTATTGGACTACTAGCCGCGTGGGTCATCCCCGAGTGGGCCTACGACGCCATTCTTGAATACTTGCTATTTTTAGCAGGTTGGGCCCAAAAATGTTGGGCCGCCGTCCTTCCTAAAAAATGTCTTGCTATATATCATTATTTGGGAAATGTTGGGCTCTTATGTTTATTAATAAGGCCCAAATAAGTATTTGAAAAACCGACACTAATATACGAGTTCGAACAGTACACTAATCGATCATTAATTACGTAAAACATAAATCGTTTTACAATTGTTTGGGAATCGGAAACTCAATACATAAAATTTGAATTTTTAAATCAAATTTTCAAGGACGTTCGGGTGCGGTGTCACATTGACATTAGTTATAGTAGGATTTATATCTTCTTTAATATTCTTCCTTGAATATTAATTAATTCCTATTCATACTTCATTTTAATATTTTGAGCATTACTTAAAGGATCAACTAGTTTTGTCTCATATATTAATTATTACTAGAATCGATCGACGAATACGCTTGTTAATCGTTCGATCTTTTCACGGTAGTAAACTTGGATTATTAATGCATGCATCTCATGGTTAATAATCTAAGGGGAATTAATTATATTGATTAAACCAATAAACCGCTTGTGTTGAGGTTATCGATTCCAATCGTTTTCATCTTGAATTTATTGCTACTATCGAGTAAATATATGATGCATGTTCTATATTAATTCGGTGGTAAGTTTTATTAATGAACGCGTCTCGTTATTAATAACTACCCTCTATGAACTGGATATACTCCTCGATTGAGTATTCGAGAGGAAGATAGTTAAAGATATAACCGAGATCGACGAACATTTCATTAAGTGGATAAAAGCAAAACCAAGACTAACTACCTTTGATATTTTATTTCACTCATCTAAGTATTTTATTTGCTTTCTCAATTATCAAAATATCCAATCCCCCCTTCCGTTTACTTTTATTTATTACGCTTACACCTACGCGAAAAGCTCCTTTCCCTGTGGATACTAACTCTACTACGCTATACTACGGTATTAGCCCTTAGTAGTGAATTTAATTTGAGGCACACTACGACAAAGTGCTCGTCAAATTTGGTGCCGTTGCCGGGGAAAGGCTACACTTTTTAACTGTGTGTTTGTGTAATTTTGTTTTTAATTTTCTTTTATGTTTTTTCATTTACCTTGAATAAATTGAAAAGAGCGGGTACACACTTTGATCCTCTACTCCACCCCAAATCCATATTCCCAACTTAACTCCATTTGTCAGTGAGATGAAGAAAAAATGAGGAGCTAGGATGAAAACCCGAAAAGGACTCCTAGGCAAAATGAGAGAAAACGAGATAAATTTTAATTTTTGTAGGAGAAAATTTCGTGTGTAAGTTCAAACAACAAGATACCGGATCGGGTACAGGCCATACTCATTCGGGTGTTTTCAAAGAGCTTCTCGAAATATTCAAAGGAAGCTAGCACAAAAAGCTTAGCATGGGGGAGCATGAACAGATAAAACCTTAGGAGAAGAAACCGATTCTAAATGTGAGAAGAAACGTGACACTCCTAAGCATTGAACTTAATCGAATTGCACTTTACTCGAGGACGAGTAAAAGATTAAGCATGGGGGTATTTGATGCGTACTATTTAGTAGTACATAAGCACCACATTTTAGAATGGTTTTACATTATGTTTACTCAGCTTTTGTACAATTACGGTGTAATCTTTATCTTCTAAAATTAAAGAAGAATTAGAAGATATTAAGATATTTTGACATGTAAGCAAAAACATGATGAAAAGAAGAGGAAGGAGCTTGGGAGCGTAAGGAAGGAGCATTGGAGAAAAGAGGAAGCTTCATGGAGGACAAAGATGTGTGAAAAATCGGATATGATTCGACCCGGAGATTATAAGAGATCAAATAAAGCAAGTGAACATGGGAAAATCAGATTATGTCTTAGACCCAACCACCTCACTTCTCCTATAAAAACACATCTTTCCTTCCTATTTTAGAGACCAATTTAATCCCCTCTTTCATATACACTTTATTCTTGTAATTTAGGTAGTCTTTCCATCTTGGTTTTGCTACTTTGAAGCTTAATGAATTGTAAGTTGTGAGTTATTTTCTTTAATCTTCTTCCTTGAATATTAATTTTTCCCTTAATACTATCTCTATATTAATGTTGGGAGTGTTACTAAGATGACAATTAGTTAACATCTCGACATTAGTTAGAGTAGTATTTATTTTCTTCCTCTATATTAATGTTGGGGAGTGTTACTAAAATGACAATTAGTTAACATCTTGACATTAGTTATAGTAGGATTTATATCTTCTTTAATATTCTTCCTTGAATATTAATTAATTCCTATTCATATTTCATTTTAATATTTTGAGCATTACTTAAAGGATCAACTAGTTTTGTCTCATATATTAATTATTACTAGAATCGGTCGACGAATACGCTTGTTAATCGTTCGATCTTTTCACGGTAGTAAACTTGGATTATTAATGCATGCATCTCATGGTTAATAATATAAGGGGAATTAATTATATTGATTAAACCAATAAACCGCTTGTGTTGAGGTTATCGATTTCAATCGTTTTCATCTTGAATTTATTGCTACTATCGAGTAAATATACGGCGCATGTTCTATATTAATTCGGTAGTAAGTTTTATTAATGAACGCGTCTCGTTATTAATAACTACCCTTGATGAACTGGATATACTCCTCGATTGAGTATTCGAGAGGAAGATAGTTACAGATATATCCGGGATCGACGAACATTTCATTAAGTGGATAAAAGCAAAACCAAGACTAACTACCTTTGATATTTTATTTCACTCATATAAGTATTTTATTTGCTTTCTCAATTATCAAAATATCCAATTCCCCCTTCCGTTTACTTTTATTTAGTACGCTTACACATACGTGAAAAGCTCCTTTTCTTGTGGATATGAACTCTACTACGCTATACTACGGTATTAGCCCTTAGTAGTGAATTTAATTTGAGGCACACTACGACAAAGTGATCGTCAGTCCACAAAAAAGTAAAATGTGAAATGATGAGTAAGAGATAAAGTGCGAACGTAAGAAGTTACTGAGGTTCAATTTAGGAAAGTTTTCATATATTTGGGACAGTTCGAAAAGAAAAGAATATCTTACAAAATGGGACGGAGAGAGTATCTTTGTGTGTCACTTAGAGCATCTTTAATGGGGACATAGATTGTTTAAAATCCATTGTCATGTCATATTTGGGTAAAATTCTATTCTCCAACGGAAATATGGATATGGGCCGTGGTGCTGATGTGGAATAGAAAACCGGCAACATTGTCTACCTCTCCTTCTATTTCCAGAAGGCGCTTCTAATAGGCTGACTCAGCAAAATTTACATACGGAGTCCTTTCTACAAAAATTATCGGTCACAATAAGCATTGTCGCCGATAAATTAGAAAGCATTGCGCCTAATTTATACTTTTGCATTACTCATAAAGCCTAAAGAATACACTTTTTTACGCATCTTTCAGCCTCACGGGCTGTTTACACGGCTGAGATGTCCATTTTTAAGGGGTACAATCCATATTCCCGATGCTCTTACACATTCCATCTAACTATGTCAAACATGTCTATTCAAGTCATTTCACATTTTATCTTCATATACTCTTATTTAATCTTTAATCTAGCATAGTAGCATTTCATCTTACATCTAGATTTTGAACTAGTTACAGTTGTGCAAAAACCAAACCCAATTAAGTCCCTGCCAGTTGTAGGGGAGTTAGGAAAACCTCTACCATGAGATAAGGAAAACCTTTATCCCATGAAGATGAAGGGATAAGAAAATCTCTACCAGGAGTATAGAAAAGTTTTGGATGTTATGTAAATAAATTTGAAAAAACTTACATCTGTTATTACCTGTTCCTTGAGCACTATGACTACTATTTGCAGCATTAGTCTCCATTGCTGCTAACATCTTTAAGGATATCTTCCGCAGATAATCAGCCTGCAATAGAAACATTTAACAGTCATACGAATAGTTGAGTACACCAAAACTACACATAACAAATGAGCGATACCCGATCTGTTGCAACAGCATAAATTTTTTCCTCAAAACGCACTGCAATTTTCTTAAGTTCCTGCAGCCCCTCTTGCCCAGACAACGGAAGATGCTGCTTTAAAGTTTCCGTTCTATACATTCATATTCCATGTATCAGTTAAGATAGGAATTAATAAAGATACCATCTCCAACTTTACATGAGAACTAGAACTCAGGGACAACATTACTGAAAACCGATAAAAACATGCTAAAACCGACCGAAACCGAACCGATAAAACCGAAATCAATGAAACCGAACAGACGAACACCGCTAGATAGACCTATAAGCGTCAAGTTCCCAAATAGATATGGCAAGAGTGCATAAAATTTACATCTTGTTAACAATCCTTAGTCTGGCTTCTAGTGGGAGTCGGGCCCGCCAATCGCCCGTCTCCATGGCTCCTGAAGCCGCTGGTGCAGCCGCCCCCGCTGTTATGATGGTGGCGTCACCACCCTGAGCCTGTGCAAGAGGTTGCGCCGCCCAGTTATTGGCATCCATGTAAATATTTTCCTACAGCTTCGACAAGAGTCGAATCGTGAACACGAAAGCTCTCCCAGGGTTCCTGCTAAATTGATCATGTGTATATATATACGGAGTATAACACAAAGGAAAATGTCAGATGTACCAACAAACTTGCGAAACAAACTCAAAAAAGAGAAAGTAACGTACGTGATCTCCTGAATAAATGTGAGGTGTTGAATAATTTAATGTGATATTACACTTCCTATAAGAAAAGAACAGACTTCATCAAAAAAAGAAAAGAATTAGACTTACTACGTACTCCCAGGGGCGGCCCTAGGGGTGCAACAGGGGCGACGCCCTAGGCCCAAGAAAATAGGGGAGAAATAGGCCCAAAAATATTTCTTTGTATATAGTGTGACTATGTTTCTTTTTTTATTTTTTAAGCTCAATTAATTGGTTCAAGGTTAAATTTTTAATTTGTATAGTGGCACACATCTCTCAATTATTTTCGGATCGCTAAGTTTTATAATCCTTTTAATTATAAAATTACCATGTTATGTTAGGCCTCCCAAGTCTAAAATTCTCAATTTGCAAAGCCCATCTAAATTCCCATATGAACAAGAGTAAAGAACACTACAAAGCGGTGAGTGTCCCGATTTGTTAAGAATTGAAGCTAATCAATCAAGAAACCCAAACGGCGGTCGGTGACCAAAAAACTTCTTCTTTTCAAGGCTTCAAACAATCCATCCGCGATCAATAAATTATTCTTGATAAAATTGGTGAATCGGGCCGGGATAAATAGAGAAAGAGAAGAAGATTAGAAAAGACAAGGTTAAGTTAGAAGAGATCAATAGAAAATTTTGTTTTTGTTAAGAAATTGAATCTTGAAAATTCCGTGAGAAATATTTTTAAGTAATGTTTTTCTTTTTATATGATACTTGTGTTGTTACTTTGCACCAAATATGTAATTTAAATCATAATGATAAAATGAGTTTCGTTTTTTCTAATGACCTTTATTAGATAATTTTATTATAATTATTATTTTACACAAATAAAGTTTATTATTTATCTTGAATATAAGCCCAAAATATTATCTCGCCCATAGGCTCGAAAATAGACAGGACCGGCCCTGCGTACTCCGTATTAAAATACTCTCTCCATCCCAAATTGAATTACAAACTTTGACCGACACAAGGATTAAGGAATGACAATAAATGATGCTTGTTTTTTACACTTTTACCCTTCATCCTAAAAGTAGATGTCTTTAAGTTGGTGGAAAAAAGTAAAAGTAAGGATAATGTTGTCACTTTATTCTTATTTACATACCTAAAATAGAAAGTAGAAAATCATTTTGGGACAACCAAAATATGAAATTTTGCAAAACAAATTGGGACGGAGGGAGTACATTTTTACATTCTCCATAATTCACTTCTTTAATCCTACAAATGCCATGTGGTCAACTCAAGGAGTAATACTGTAATATGGAACACCAACAGTAAACAAATGTAAGGATTTGTATTTGAAAACTTGGTATCAACTCATGAGGCCCATTGTATAAAAAATGTCATTTTCTTCAAGGTGTTATAAGGTTTTCATTTTCTCTCTAATTTTTATAAAAGATATATCAAAATTCATAACTTTTTACGATCTCTCATATGACACCAAAATTGCATACATACAATTTAAAAAAATCTGAATGTTTGTTAAACAATCTTCCTATTTTTCAACCTCAATACAAATTATTCCGTATTAGAAAAATAAATAATTCCGATTATATGACCAAAATAATGAGAGTATTAAGAAACATCAGTAGTAAAAACTAAAATTTTGATAGTTTAGAATTAATGTTTTTATCATCGCCTCTATCATATTATATTTACCTTTATTTTAATTTTTACATCATATCTCCACCCCGCAAAGAAGTTCTCACTTTCCTTTTATGGATGTCCCAAAAAGAAGTCTCATTTCTATAAAAAGAAACCACTTTTATCCCAAAAGTCACAAGTACTATGTAAGGGTAAACTTGGAAAGTCAAAACAAAACTGTACCTTGCATAAATACTAATATGTGTAGGTCAAACCGAGAACTTAATTTCGGGACGGAGGGAGTATGTTATAAGAACCAAATTCAGCCATTAAAATCAAGTTAGTGTGAACATACTTAAAACATATAGGCTATGTTTGGCACAACGAACTGAAACTGGAGGCTATTGTCTGAATGAGGGACTATTGTCTGAATTAGGCACAATTGTCTGAACCTGAACTTTGAAGTGCTAAATCTGATTTGCTATCTGAATGAGTAGACCTGTTTGGCAAAAAGAGCTAAAAAAGTGCTCGGATAGTATGAAGTTACATTAAAGGGCATATAATTTATTAATAGAATAAAATACATATTATAATGATTTTGTATTTTCAATCTTTTAAAATCTTAGTATATATATTTATATGTATGCGTGTGTTTATATATATACACGTAATATTTAAATTTATATATGTATATAATATTTTAGATTTCATAGTCGAGAATGTATCTGGTGATTTTTTAACTTTCCCAGTTCTCAGTAACTATTATTATCACCATTATTTTATTATTGTGTTACGTAGTAATTAATAAGAACAACTAGTCAATCGTGTTCAATGATGATGCATATCCGAATTCCCACTACCAATACACAAAAAAAAAATCCCCCACTGAGCAAGGAAGTGGGTGAAGATGCATTCTAGGGGAGAAAGTAAATGATCAGACGAAGAAAGTGGTGACGAGGAGAGAAAGATGAGTGAAGGATAATTTGGGAACGTTAGAAAATTTTTAGAAAATTTTAAAACCCGCTGAGCAGAAACGTTGGAGTGTAAAGCGTTGCTATTCAGCCCTATTTTTCCAGACAACAATGCTTGATGTACACACTCTTATACCCACCTTATACCCATCATGTTTGTGAATGTTTTTTTTTGTCTGTGAATCTGATTCACCGACAATATTTTGTCTGTGCAAAATATTGTCTATGAACCGGGGTTCACAGACAAAAAAAAACACTTCACAAACATAGGTGGGTACAAAAGTGGGTACAAAGATCTTTTTTGTTTTCCAGATTAAGCCCATTTAAGCTTTGTTACCAAACAAGTCTACTCCTAAAATTATTGTCTAGAATTAAAGTATTTCAGCCCATTTTGAGCTCTTGTGTTCTGCAAACATTAGTCCACAACAATACTTAACAAATTCATCTTGAAACTGTTGAAAGTGATATTGATCCGCTCGTAAGTAAGAATGAACTTTTTATCAACATCTTGCAAAAAAAAAAAAAAACTTTTTATCAACAAATTTATAACACTAAAATGATTTCACATGCTTATCAAATTTTTCTTTTCAAATAGGATTAGCTCCTAATGTTGACTATAAAAGTCTATATATAACCAATTTAATTATATTTTGTCCATAAATATTTATTTGAAAGGTTTTTTTTATAGTCACGTTGATATAAACTTTAAACATAATTATAATTCCTAAAAGTTGACGAGTAACATTTTAAGGATTTTTTGCAAGAATATTACTAAAATAAAACTTATTTACACAAATATGACTTCATTACTAGTTTACTACAACGTAGTGTTGTAGTAACTTAAGTTCAAAACTTGAAAATGAATTACTATGATTTCATTACTACTCTAGTAACTAGTCATATTATTGTAAACCATCTTTATTTTGGTCATATTTATGTAATTATTTCACATTTTAATCTGCTATCGTTATTTGGGTCATAATTATGAATTACTCCCTCCGGTTCTTAATGAAGTTTACATTTTCCTGTTTGAACAGTCCCATATTAAACTTTACACTTCCTTATTTGCCTTATTTGACAAACAAATCTACACAAAGCAGTGCTAAGACTGCTAACCAATGCCAAACAGTATCAAACAATGTTATAATAGTGTACTCTACAGTAAAGTCGAATTTATTAATACTTGTGTTAATAAGACCCGCGTTAATAAGCGGCGCATAAAATAAGTAGTGTCGTAAGCTCATGTTTACTTCAAAAGGATTTAAAAGACCATTTAACATTAAAATGTCCAAAATAATCCTATACATGTATAGACACGCACGCCTACCCCAACCCTAATCCCTTTACCCCTCACCCCACCCCACCCCACCCCTACTCCTCCCTACTCCGACCCCAACCCTTCCACCCCACCCGACCCTTAACCTACCATGACCCCACCCCCAACCCCTACCCCCGATTACCCCCACCCCAACCCTATGGGACTTAGGGTGAGATAGGTTGGGTGTAGGGTGTAGGGGGTGGGGGTGAAGGTAAAGGGTGGGGCGGGGGGTCAAGGTCGGGGTAGGGTGGGGTGTGGGGGTGGAGGGTGGGGGTTGGGGTAGGGTTACAGTCGTTCGGTGGGGGGTCGGAGTAGTGGCCGGTGGGGGTAGTAGTTGGGGGTATGGTGGTAAGGGGTTATGGAAAGGGGTGGGGTCAAGGAAGGGTATGGTGGGGGTGGGGTGGGGTAGAGGGGTAACAAATAGGGTAAGAATAAGGTGTAAGGGTAAGAGTAAATTCTGTAACTGAAAAAGTTTAAAGTGCTATTTAATTAATACAAGTACGTAGTACATGGTGGGTGGTATGCCTAGTAAGCGACATTTAAGCATCACTTTAGGTTAGTAAACAACTAGATTTTCACCCGCGCGATGTGCGGTCTATATTATCGAATAGTTATATAATCTTTTTTATTAACGTTATTAGTGCATGTGCAGATGATATTCTTTTATACGCATGTAATATATATGAACAATATACAATAATTATAGAGAAAACTATAGTTATCACTAATAATAGGTACGATTTATATATTAGGATAAGAGGGAAAAACGAATTATGAGAAGACAAATTATTTATGAACAAACTAAATAGAATTTATAAATACCAGATATTATATTATATTATATTATTATAATAATTTGAAATGATTATCGTGCCTACATTGTGGACCATCAATTTTTATGTTGACTTAAATTACATGAAAATAATGTTTTTAGATCTATTTGAATACTATAAAAACAAAAGTATGTACTCAAACACTTTTAAATATTTTGATGGCCCAATTAAATCCGACCCAACCATTAAATATGTACAAAAGTATGTAAAATCCATTAAATTTCAGACCCAAATACCTGAAATTTTGGATCCACCTTAATCTTGGAGAATAAAACCTTCAGCCAGCCCCTAATCCTACCCGGCCCGTTTAAACGTACCCAACCCAGCCCATTTAACATTCCCAGACCAGCTAAAAACCA